CATGCACCCAGGCCGCGAATCCTGTGCAAAAAATACTACAAAGAGCACACTCGCGCGTTCATGTCAGAATCCTACCGAATACCGTGTTTTTGCAAGCATTTCAACATAACAACATCAAACACCCAATGCTTTTTCACAAAAATGCTTTGGGGTGTCCTGTCAGACCGTCGGGCTTCCTCCGGCCACCTCTGGCTTCCTGCGGTGTACCGGGCCATTCTCGACTCGTCTGGCAATGCGTGCGCGGCATTCAACACGCGCTCGCCAGTCCCCGTCGGCAACCGCCATCGCGGCCGCATCAGCTGTACCAAACCGGCTGGCCGGTGTGACTTCGGCCCCCAGTTGTGCCAGCTTTGCTTCTTATGTTGTGGGAGGGCGGGTGGGACTGGGCATGTCATGCTTGACTCGCTCGAGCTGGCTAGCTTGACTCCTACTCCTACTCCTACTGCTCGGCCGCCTCCTCCTCCTCCTCCTCCTCCTCTCCTCCTCCTCCTCCTCCTCCTCCTCCTCTCCTCCTCCTCCCTCCGCCTCCTCACTCCTCCCTCCCTCCCTCCCTCCCTCCCTCCCTCCCTCCCTCCCTCCCCCCCCATCCCTCCCAACTTCCCTCGGCCGCCTCGTCTCCTCGTCCTCCTCCTCCTCCTCCTCCTCCTCCTTCTCATGCCCGTCTCTTATCTCGTCCTCGTCCTTTTCGCCCTCCTTCTCATCAACTTCCTCCTCGTCCTCCTCCCAGTCCTCCTCCTCCTCCTCCTCCTCCTCATCGGGTTCCTCGATGGCCGTGGCCTGCTCGCTGGTGTACGTGTAGTTTGCCACGACCTGCGCGAGAGCGCCCGCCACTTCGGCGCGGACCTCGGCGAACGCGCTGCGGGAGTGCCCGGGAGGGGGGGAGGGCGGGGCAGCGTCGCGGAGGAGACGGGGCGGAGGAGGAAGAAAACGAGGAGGAGGAGGAGGAGGAGGAGGAGGAGGAGGAGCAGGAGGAGGAGGAGGGGGAGGAGGAGGAGGAGGAGGAGGAGAAAAAGGAGGAGGAAGACGAGGAGGAGGATGATGATGATGAGGAGGAGGAGGAGGAAGGGGAAGCGAGGGAGGGAGGGAGGGAGGGAGGAGGACGAAGAGGGCGCAGAGGGAAGCAGGGGGAGATGTTTCACAACTGGCGATGTTGTTTTTTTCGGGCCACAGGACCCTCACGGATCGGTCCGTCTCGGCGAGGGCTGAAGCGAGATGGGGCCAAGGGCTCTGGTCGGCCTATTCTTACGATGTTGAGCGTTGTCGTGACGTCGGGTCTTAGGGGATGAATGCGAAGAGGGAAGGAGGAGCGAGGAGGATGAGGACGAGGACGAGGATGAGGAGGAGGAGGAGGAGGCGAGACGAGTTAGGAGGACGAGAAGTACGCAAACAGAAAGGAGTCCGTCGCGCGGAGCACCAACGGAAGCTTGCGAGATGGCCATGACCCTCAAGCCCTAGGTCCAGCGCTCGCTCGGTGCTCACCCCAAGACACCCATCCTGGCAAGATCGTTGCAAATGGAGCACGCCAACGCAGAACGAGCGCATACCTATGTACACATATATATATATATATATATACACGACTGCATTGGCGCGTCGCGCCATGCGCCTTGGTCCTTAACGTCTAACATGCACGCAGAGAGAGAGAGAGAGGCGTATCAACCAAAACAACAATCGTTTTTGGTTACAGTTTTCGCCGTCACCGTTATTAGATAGTTGTTCCTTATCCTTCCCTTATGTGTCCTTTACCTCTTCCTCTTTCTCTTTCTCGTCTTCATTGCCCCGCGAACTCTCCCCCGTACTCCTCAGATTTGTTTGCGGAGGCTTCTCCGAAACGAGCTTCTAGAGGACCTCGCGAAAGGTTTTGGGGGGCTCCTTGAGCGCCTCTGAAGACGGCCCTGGCCCCTTTTGGCGGCCTCTGGGGGGGTCCTCGGGCCACCATGCCGCGAATCGTGGTTTCGGATCACAGTTTGAATGCTTCTGGAAGGCGTATTGGGGCAATTGTGGTCCATCATGAGGCCCTCCGTGGGCAATTTCTGAGCCCTCTTGGGCCTTCTTGCGGCTCTCGTGGACTGTCAGGAACTCTTTCACTCTTTTTGACCGTCTTGCTCGGACGCCCAGAAGAGAGAATAATCGAGTAGCCCAAAATCATACAACAACCACTGAAAATCAACCTTTTTGTTTCGAAAGCCTCTTGGGGGTGATGTTTCGGCCGTCTTCGGGCGTCTGGCGGGGGTCCGGGGCCGCTGGAGGCCCCTTGGGATCACCGCCGACCCGTTTGCATTGATCGGCAAGGACTTCCAGAGGCCCAGAAATCTCGTGGAACCCTCGAGGGTGCGTTCAGGAGCCTGGGATCCCGGGGGTCCCGTTTCGGGGAGGGAGCAGGGCTTCCGCAGGATCCAGATTTATAAAGAAATACGGCAAGGAATACATATGGATGTGTATATGTACATGTACATGTAGATGTATACGTATGTGATTGTGTGCATGTATATGTATATGCATGTGTTTATGTTTATGCAGCTGCATGTGTACACGCACATGTAATTGTATATTATACCTGTGTGTATGCTTACATTTTTATATACGTGATACCGGAGAAAAGCAATCATACGACTTATAGGCCTATAGGGCTATGGGGCTATAGGGCTATAAGGCTCTGGAGCTATAGGGTTATAGGGCTATAAGGCTATAGGGCTATAGGTCTATAGGGCTATAGGGCCATAGGGCTATAAGGCTGTAGGGCTGTAAGGCTATAAGGCTATAAGGCTATAGGGCTATAGGGCTATAGGGCTATAGAGCTATGGGGCTATAGGGTTAGTAGGGCTATATGGCTCTAGGGCTATAGGGCTATAGCCTGTAGCGCTATAGCCCTATAGCCTATAGGGCTATAGGGCTGTGAGGCTATAGGGCTATAGGGCTATAACGCTACCGGGCACCCGGGCATCTGGGCCCCCGGGCACCCGGGCACCCGGACACCCGGGCACCCAGGCGTGCCACCGAAATCGGCGCCAAACCTCACCTAACCATATGAATCCGCTAGGACCCCATACAGAGGCAAGCTCTGATTGGGCAATGAATATGAATATGTCGACTACACACATTTAGACATATAGATGTACATGTACATGCACATGTACACGTACATACCCATGTAGATGTGTATGTATATGTCTATGTGTATGCATATGTTTATGTTTGTGTTTAGGTACATGTGTAAATACGTACATATACGTACATATATGCATATACGTATGTGTATATGTACATGAACATGTATATGCAGGTGTATATGTGTAAATATATGTAGTTATGTGTGTTCCCATGAATGCGTGTACAATGGCATGTATAAGGTTATAGAACATGTGTGTGTACATGTGCATGTAATTGTATATGCATATGTATATGCAAACGTGTATGATATGTATATGTGTTTGAATGTGTATATCATATGTTGTTCACATACGTGATGTTATGTATGTGTATATGCATATGCATATATATATATGTATGGGTGCACGCACGTGTATTTGTATGTGTATATTTGTTTGTATGTGCCGTTGTATTTGTATAGTGCCAGGTGTATGTAACTGTAGATGTACATGTAGATGTGGATGTACATGTCTATGTACATGTATATGTTTTTTGGAGGGAGAAGATGGGCGCGGACGCCGATGATTCCCGCAGCTATCCTCGACAAAAACGACGTCGACAACGCATGCGCTCCGCAGCGGTGCTCTGCGAACGTGGCCGAAACTTCGGCGACGGGCGCTGGGGACAGGCCCGACATCGAGGACCGGCTGGTACTCCCAAAACTGAAGATACGGCCTGCAAAGGCGGCGACGCGCAGCGAGGGGGCACGGTGGACGCAGGAGGGGGGGCGGGGGGCGGAGGCCCTGCGCCAGCCTGACACCGGCACGCGCGAGAGACTGCCGCGCCACAGCCGCGCGAGCCGCGCCCTCCGAGAGGCCGGCCGCGAGGAATTATGCGAACGGAGCTCCCAACCTAAAGATATTAACGGTTTCGTGGGACCCATGGGGTACGACAACATCAACACGAAGGAAAAACTCATCGAATGAGTAAGTACGCGCGAAAGGGCAGACGAAAGAAAGGAGGAGGGAGGCCAGGTGCTCAGGAAACGAAGCCTTCTAAATAGTACGGTTTCTTGATACCCTCCTTGCTCTGGCGGGGCCCCGCTGGAAAGGGGGAGGGTTGCGAAACCTGGTGAACAGTAATGCTTTCCGCGACCCTCCTCGTTCAAGCGCGGCCTCTCTGGAAGAGTGGAAGGGGGGACACGAAACCGTGTAAACTGCATTGTTTTCCGATACCCCCCTGGAGGAGGAGGAGGGGGGGGAGGAAGAGGATAGGATGGATGATGATGAAGAGCAGCAGCAGGAACCGCAGCAGGAGCAGCAGCGGGAGGATGGCCAGGAGTATGAACATGAGAAGGTGGAGGGTCGAGCGGGCGGGTGAGTCGCCCAGGCGTCCAAGGTCCGATTCGTGAGGTTGGTCTGGGTGGTATTTTTTCCTCGTCCTTCCTCCTCCTCCTCCTCCTCCTCTCCCTCCTCCCCCCTCCTCCTCCTCCTCCTCCTCCTCCTCCTCCTCCTCCTCCTCCTCCTCCTCCTCCTCCTCCTCCTCCCCCTCCTCCTCCTCCTCCTCCTCCTCCTCCTCCTCCTCCTCCTCCTCTGTCTTCGCCCTCGTCGGTGTCGTAGTCGTCGTCGGGAGCGTCAGCGTCGCCGTCTTTCTCAGGCGGGCCCTAAAAGGCGGGCCTTGAAGTATGGATTACCATCGATTCGGCACGCATGTACCCCTCCTCCTCCTCCACCTCCTCCTCCTCCTCCTCCTCCACCTCCCCCTTCTCTTCTTCTGCTTGTTCTTCCTCTACCTGTCCTTTCTCCTCCCCCTCCTCCTCCTCCCGCGAAATCCTGAGAAGGAGTGACCGGGGCAGGCTTGTGCCAGATGGCGTCGGCAACAAGTCACCACCAGCACGTTCTGCTACCCTTCCTGCAGCACGTGCGAACGCCCCCGTACGGCCGAAAGCGCAACAGGGAGATGGCAAATCACAACTCAGGAACTAGTCGGGTCTGTGCAAGTCGGCGAGCGACACGAATTAGCGACCTCCTCGCTCAGACGGGGCCTCCCTGGAGGGGTGGGAGGGGCACGAAACCATGTAGATAGCATGGGTTTCCGATACCCTCCTCGCTGAGGCGGGGCCTCCCTGGAGGGGTGGGCCACTCAGGATGTGGGGAAGCACGAAACCATGTAAATAGTATGGGTTTCCGATACCCTCCTCGCTCAGACGGGGCCTCCCTGGAGGGGTGGGAGGGGCACGTAACCATGTAAATAGTATGGTTATCCGATACCCTCCTCGCTCAGGCGGGGCCTCCCTGGAGAGGTGGGAAGGACACTTAACCATGTAAATAGTATGGTTCTCCGATGCCCTCCTCGCTCAGGCGGGGCCTCCCTGGAGGGGTGGGAAGGGCACGAAACCTTTCAAAAAAATGGTTTTCCGATACCCTCCTCGCTCAGACGGGGCCCCCCTGGAGAGGTGGGAAGGGCACGAAACCATGTAAATAGTATGGTTATCCGATACCCTCCTCGCTCAGGCGGGGCCTCCCTGGAGGGGTGGAAATGGTATGGGAGGCGGGATGCGGGAGGGAGAAGGAGAGGATGTTCTGGGAAAACAAGAACCCCACTCAGGATGTGGGAAAAAACAAACAAGCACGCGCAGAGGTGTGCGAGGGCCCAGGTGGGGTCAGCTGGATGTCGGCTTCGTTTCTGCTCGAATTACACTTGACCTCCTCCTCCTCCTCCTCCCCCTCCTCCTCCCCCTCCCCCTCCCCCTCCTCCTCCTCCTCCTCCTCCTCCTCCTCCTCCTCCTCCTCCTCCTCCTCCTCCTTCTCTTCGCCCGGGCCTCCTCAGCGGAGGGAGGGCACGGAGGACGGGGGACGGGGGGGGGAGGGGGCACGGAGGACGGAGGACGGGGAGGAGCGAGGGAACGAGGCGAGGCGCGCGCGTCCGACGGACGAACACGCGGCGGAAGAGGAGGAGGAGGAGGAGGAGGAGGAGGAGGAGGAGGAGAGGAGGAGGAGGAGGAGGAGGAGCGGCAGCAGGAGGCGGAAGAGGAGGATCGGGGTGGGAATGGGAGCGCGTCGCCCCCTGAGGCGCCCGAATTCCCCCTGCTCCTGCTCCGCACTCGCTGCCTTCATCTGCTCACTCCTGCAGAAACCTCGCGGAGGCTCAGCATCACGGCCGTCCTGCCTCTCTCTCTCTCTCTCTCTCTATCTCTCTCTCTTTATCTCATGCTCGTGTCTCTCCTTATCCTCGGTCTTCCCCTCGTTTCCCCGCCCCTTTTCCTCAACATCGAGGAGGCGGAGGATAATAGAGAATGAGGACGAGAAGGAGGAGGAGGAGGAGAAGGATCGAGGAGGAGGAGGATCGCGGAGGAGGAGGATCGAGGAGGAGGAGGAGGATCGAGAAGGAGCAGGAGGAGAATCGAGAAAGATGAGGATCAAGGAAGAGGAGGAAGAGGAGGAGGAGGAGGAGGAGGAGGATCGAGGGGGGGAGGAGGATAGGAGAGGAGGAGGAGGATCGAGGGAGGAGGAGGAGAAGAGGCTCGGAGGATCGCGAGGCAAAGGAGTAAACTTAATAGGATCGAGGAAGAGATGGGAGGAGCGGCGCGAGGATTCGAGGAGGAGGGGGGAGGATCGGGAAAGAGGAGGATAGAGGAAGAGTAGTAGTGAGGAAGAGTAGTATAGTAGTATAGTAGTAAGTAGTAGTAGTAGTAGGTAGTAGTATATAGTATAGTAGTAGTAGTAGTAGTAGTAGTAGGTAGTAGTAGTAGGATATTTGAGTGTAAAGTACAGTAGCAGTAGTAGTAGTAGTATTAGTAGTAGTAGTAGTAGTAGTAGTAGGGGGAGTGGAAGTAATAGTAGTAGTAGTCAAATGGATAGTAAGTAGTGAGTCGTAGTCGTAGTCTTTAGTAAGTAGTAGTAGATAGCAGTAGTAGTAGTAGTAGTAAGTAGTGCATAGTAGTAGTAGTAGTTGAAGTAGTACGTAGTAGTAGTAAGTAGTAGTAGTAGTAATTAAATTAGTAGTAGTAGTAGTAGAGTAGTGGGAGTATATTATAGTAGTAGTATGGGTGAGGGGGTGGGACAGTCGAGTAGAGTAGTCGTAGTAGTTCGTAGTAGTAGTAGTAGTAGCAGTATTAGTAGTAGTAGTAGTAGTAGTTAGTAGTAGTAAGTTGTAAGTAATCGTAGCAGTAGTATTAGTAGTTAGTAGTAGTATAGTAGTAGTAGTAGTAGCAGGCAGTAGCGTAGTAATAGTGTTTAGGAGGAGGAGGAGGAGGAGGAGGAGGAGGAGTGAGGACGAGGGAGAGACAGGTTTCCTCCTCGTCGTTCCGCAGCCCTCCCTCTGGCTCCCCTCCTGGTCCTTCCCTTCTCCGTCCCATTCCCTCCAAGCCCCGCTGGGCCTCAGCGCTCGCGAGCGTCATCTGGCACACACCTCTGGGAGCGTGGAGGGCAAGCACTAGCCCTCAATCCTCCTCAATCCTCCTCGAGCCTCCTCCTCCTCCTCGATCCCCTGGTCCTGCTCCTCCTCCTCCTTCTCATCATCATCAGCAGCAGCATTATCATCATTACTATCACCATCACCATCACCATCACCACCACCACCACCACCATCATCATCATCATCACCATCATCATCACCACCATCATTATCAGCATCATCAGCATCATCAGCATTGGAATCATCATCATCAGCATCAGCATCAGCATCAGCAGCATCATCATCATCAGCATCACTAAGATTAGCTCTATTATTACGAGCATTCGCATTATGGTTATTTTGGCAAATCTTTTCTATCATCCTACGATAATTAGTATTATTAGTAAACGGTTCATATGCTTACGTTTAGTATCAATAATACTAGCACTGCTACTACAAACGAAGGTATGACTATTTTGACTGTTGTTAATATTACCATCATCATCAGCAGTATCAGCATCAGCATCAGCATAAGCATCAGCATCAGCATCAGCATCAGCATCAGCATCAGCATCAACATCATCATCAACATCATCATCATCATCACCATCACCATCACCATCACCATCAACATCATCATCATCATCATCATCATCATCATCATCATCATCATCATCATCATCATCATCATCATCATCATCGAACCCCTCCCCCCGCTGCCCGGCGAGAAGCGGCCCGCATTCCTCCCCCCCCACGTAGTGGACCGGGGGGGAAGAGCGGCTGCGCCCACGCACGGCCATGCTAGGACGGGTCCTATTGCCGCCATGCCCTGCTGCCAAACCCGCGGAAGCCGCAGAAAGGTGTGCGGACGCCCTGCGTCGAGGAGGAGGTGGGCGGGGGTGGAGTCTCTTAAGCTCAACCACTACGGAAGCCAACGCGTGCACATCATCTGGGTCATCATGAGCTGAATGTGTGCTGGCGCGTACCCGTAAGCCTACGGCAGCCAAGCTTGGTTTGAGGTGCAGCAAATGCCAGGAGCAATGACACGTGCGCCAGTGATGCCGGGGGGAAGACGGAGCCGGGAGGACCGCAGAGGAGGACGGAAGAGGGAAGGAGGAGGACGGGTGCACGAAGGGAAGAAGGGATTACGGAGGAGCGAACCGGGAGGAGATGGAAGTAGGGATGGGGAGGCGAAGGAGGGAGAAGGGGGGAGGGAGGATGGAGGGAGAGAGAATGAGGGAGGGAGGATGGACGGAGGAAGGATGGAGGGAGGGAGAAGGAGTGAGCGGGGAGGAAGGAGGAGGGGAGCGAGGGAGGAGGGAGACGAGGCAGATGAGCGAGGCAGGGGAGGAAGGAGGAGCATCCCTCCTCGCCTTCTTCCCCTCCGCTTTCCCTGCTCTCCCCTCCCCCTCCTGTCCCTATCCGTCCCCGCTCACCGTTTCGAAGTCCGCTCAGAATCGCTCCCCAGACATACCGGGCTCCACCATGGACACTTTTGCATCCAAGACGCATTTTGATGGTCCTGGGCCCCAGAAGGAATACCTCGAGGCCAAAAACGGCGAACAACCTCATCGACCCTGCTCTTTCGAAGAATGAACCTGGCGCGGCCCGAGTTAGTGGAAAGCTTCCAATTGTATGGGCGGATTGCTTGGCGTTGCTGGGTTTTGGTTGGCATTGCCTTGAGTAGCTTGGCGTTGCTTGCCTTTGTTTGGCATTGCTTCGCGTTGCCTCGCATTGCTTTGTTCGGCGCTGCTCGGCATGTTTGGCTATGCTTTGCTTTGCATTGGTGGACATAGCTAGCCGTTTCTTTGTGTTGCTTGGCGTTGCTTTGCATTGCTTAGTGGTGGCTGGTCTTGCGTAGCCTTGTTTGTCGTTGATTTACGTTGTTTGACTTTGCTTGGCGTTGCGTGGGGGTGCTGCACATTGCTTGGCATTGCTGAATGTTGCTTGGCGTTGCGTAGCGTTGCTTAGAGTTGCATGACATTGCTTGGCGCTGCGTGGTTGCTTGGAAACATAATCAAGCAACCCAGGAATGCAGCAAGGAAATGTTAGCTAGCGTGGGGCCCAAACACTGTTGTTTAAAGCTAGATATGCCATGCGCAATCTACCCGGCACCCCCACCCCCATAACCTCTTCTCTTGGGACCCCCCTCACCACGATGTCTCGCCCAGAACCGACCGATACCCCCCACCTCGCCCCGACCGACACCCCCCACCTCGCCCCGGCACCCCCACTCCCAGAACCTCTTTCTCGTCCAACACCAACCGATACCCCCCATCCCGCCCCGACCGATACCCCCCACCTCGCCCCGACCGATACCCCCCACCTCGCCCCGGCGCCGCCACCCCCAGAACCTCTCTTCTTGGAACCCCCTCACCACGATTTCTCGCCCAAAACCGACCGACACCCCCCGCCTCGCCCCGACCGATACCCCCCACCTCGCGCCGACCGATACCCCAACACTCGCCCCGGCACCCCCGCCCCCAGAACCTCTGTTTTGGGACCCCCTGACCACGATTTCCGCCCCAAAACCGACCAATACTCACCACCTCGCTCCGACCGATGCCCCCCACCTCGCCCCGGCCGACACCCCCTGCCTCGCCGGCACCCCTGCCCCAGAACCTCTCTTTGGGACCCCCCTCACCACGATTTTCTCGCCCAACCACCGAGCCCCCATACCGCCTCCGGCCCCCCTCGCCCGACCGTGCTCCCCCACCTCGCCACGCCACCCCCGCCCCCAGAACCTCTCTTGTTGGGGCCCCCCCCATCACGATTTCTCGCCCCAAACCGACCGATACCCCCCACCTCGCCCCGACCGACACCCCCCGCCTCGCCCCGACCGATGCCCCCCACCTCGCCCCGACACCCCCACCCCCATAGAACCTCTCTTCTTGGGACCCCCCTCGCCACGATTTTTCGCCCAAAACCGACCGATGCCCCCCACCCGCCGACCTCCCCCGCCTCGTCACGACGATGCCCCCAACTCCGGCCCCGGGCCACCCCCAAGAACCTCTCTTCTCGAGACCCTCCCCCACCACGATTTCTCGCCAAAAACCGGCCGACGCCCCCCACCTCGCCCGACCGATACCCCCCACCTCGCCCCGCCGATTACCCCCCACCCACACCTCGCCCGGGCACCCTCGCACCCAGAACCTCTCTTCTTGAGAACCCCCTCGCCGCGATTTCTCACCCAAAACCAACCTATGCCCCCCGCCTCGCCCCGACCGATGCAAACCCCGCCTCGCCCCGACCGTTGCCCCCCACCTCGCTCGGCACCCCCCCCCGCCCCAGAACCCTCTAATTCTCGGGCCCCCCTAATCACGATTTCTCGCCCAAAACCGACCGATGCCCCCCACCTCGCTCCGACCGATGCCCCCCGTCTCGCCCCGACCGATGCCCCCCGCCTCGCCCCGGCACCCCCGCTCCCAAAACCTCTCTTCTCGAGACCCCCACACCACGATTTCTCGCCCAAAACCGACCGATGCCCCCACCTGGCCCCGACCGATGCCCCCCCGCATCGCCCAGACCGACGCCCCCCACCTCGATCCCGGCACCCCCGTCCCCAATAAACCTCTCTTCCTTGGGCGCCCCCCGACCGATGCCCTCCACCTCGCCCGACCGATGCCCCCCACCTCGCCCCGACCGACGCCCCCCGCCTCGCCCCGGCACCCCTGCCCCCAAAACCGCTCTTCTCGGGGCCCCACTCACCGCAATATTACACCTAAAACCAACCGATGCCTCCCACCTCGCCCCGACCGATGCCCGCCACCTCGCTTCGACCGATGCCCCCCGCCTCGCCCCGGCACCCCCTCCGAACCCCCTCTTCTCGGGCCCCCCCCATCTCCACGATTCCTCGCCCCAACCGACCGCACCCCCCACTCGCCCGACCGACGCCCCCCTCGCCCCGGCGCGTGCCCCCACCTCGCCCCGGCACCCCCACCCCCAGAAACCTGTCTTGTCGGGGCCCCCCCACCACGATTTCTCGCCCAAAACCGACCGATGCCCCCCACCTCGCCCCGACCGATACCCCCCACCTCGCCCTGGCACCCCCGCCCCCGGAAACCTCTCTTCTTGGCCCCCCCCCCCCCCACCCCAACGCGATTTTCGCCCAGAACCGACCGATGCGCCCCCCACCTCGCGCGACCGATGCCCCCCACCTCGCCCCGACCGACGCCCCCCGCCTCGCCCCGGCACCCCACCCACATAACCTCTCTTCTTGGGCCCCCCCTCACCACGATTTCTCGCCCAACCCCGGCGCCCCCACCCCCAGAACCTCTCTTCTTGGGGCCCCCGTTCACTACGATATCTCGCCCAAAATCGACCGATGCCCCCCGCCTCGCCCCGACCGATGCCCCCCGCCTCGCCCCGGCACCCCCCCGCACCCCTCTCTTGGCCCCGGCATCTTCACGCCCCCCCCCCCCCACACCACCACCACACTGCCCCCCCCACCATCTAGCCCTGACCGATACCCTCCACCTGGCCCCAACATCCCCACCCACGGAGCTCCGTTCTCGGGACCCCCCCCCCTGCAAATTCTCGCCCAATTCCGACCGATGCCCACCATCTGGCCCCGACCGATACCTCCCTCCCGGCCTCTGCATCCCCACCCACAGAACCTCTGTTCGTCGGACCCTCCGCCCCGCGATGTCTTCTGCAAAACCGACCGACCCCGCCCCCTCCGATGTCTTTCCCAAAGCCGACCGATACCTATCACCTGGCACCGACCGATGCCCACATCTAGCCTCGGCATCCCCACCCACAGAACCTGTGCACTTGGACCCCCTTCCCCTCCACGATTTCTCGCCCGACACCGACAGATGCCCCCTACCTGGCCCCCAACGATGCACCCCGCCAGTTTCTGGCATCCTTACCCACGGAGCCCTTCTTCTGGAGCCCCTCCCACCCCGCGATTTCTCGCCCCAAACCAACCGATGCCCCCCACCTGGCCCCGAACGATACCTCTCCCTCCCCCCCCCTCCCCTCCCACCATCCACCTGGCCCTGGCATTCCCACCC